GGGGGGGGAGGGTCCTGTAATCCAGAGGGCTGAACACATGCCATCACCCCTTCTAGCAGAGAGCATTTACCTTCATTAAATTTTTACTGATACTCACTAATTGAGGCAGAGTAGAGTAACGAATGCGTGGCGCGACACCTCGTTTCTTCGGCTCAAAAAAAGTTTGCTTTCAAATTAGTCAGCTGTGCAAAGCGACCAGTAAAAAATACTGCGGTGCGATGGAAGCAGGCGGAACCGGAGCTGGAAGCCGTGGAGAGCGGAGCCGTTCGTTACCACCGAACGCTTCCTCGCCTGGTTTAGGTCTGGCGGTAGCAGCTTTAATGGCACCGCGCTCCGGGGAGCAGGAGCACGTAGGAAGCTTTTCGTAGAACGAAGAAGTACGTTAGAGAATGCTGCACTAAGGTGACAGACATGAACTATTTAGAGGTAGATTTTATACCAAGAGATTCGGAGAGAAAAAAGAAAGCAAGCTTCATGTTTTTTTTCATCAGAGAAAATGGGGTTGATGCTCTTAGGGCTCTGGTTATAGAGGTTGCTGCGAGTGGAAGGGCGAGCAGCAAGGCTTTCCTTCGACCGCAGTTTGTCACCTCTTTTATGGGCGGTGAATACATGGGTTAAACGTTCATGTGCGAGAGCGCCAAGTTTTGTGAAACACTCTTAAATAATATGCAGATGTTTATTCTGACCGCGATAAGACGCTCTTTGTTTTTTTCCCCAGGGGTAATTTAACCGCCGCGGTTTCGCACCAGCTGTGGTACTTGCTGCGTTTTCACAAAGTCCGGGCTGTGCCCCGGCGTGTCGGTACCTCCCGTCACCCAGCGCCTCCCTTCGGCGGGCCGGGGGCGGGGCGGGAAGAGAGGGGAGGCCAGCTGCTTCTGGCAGCGGCGGCTCCCGCTGAACTGACAGAAGTAAAGCTTACGCTGCAAGCGCTCGCGTTTAACGTAGTACTGTAAGAGTAATTCCAGAGCAGCTGTGGAAAAAGTCAGATTTAACTTTCTTCTGAAGCACAGCTGTGTCTCGTACAACTCAAACCAGAAGTTATTTCAGAAGCAGTGAGAAAGGGAACTGAAATTTTGTTATTATTAGATCTGTTCTGTTGGTTATCGCACTGCAGAAAGATCAGCCAGCAAACAGCACGCTGAAACTCCTGGGCAGCTGGTTTTGAGAAGTAAATCTAACCTGGATCAAGTGAGGCCACTTCACCAATTGTCAGTACTTAGTAGCAGACATGCAACAAGAGGACGTTTTCATTGTGCACTTGAATTTCTTCGGTTCCCAGACTGGGGTATGTCTGGATGCTGTGTTCTGAAGTAATGTGCTAGGATGGAATACATGGTATAAATGTTATATCTAGGAGACTAATTAAAACTTCTCCGTGTATTAGAAATTTCATTTGATTGCTAAAAATCAGTGCAAGTCTAATCCTGCAGTTACCAAAAATGAAAGGTTTGGAAAATGATGAATACTGCTCATTTCTAGGTGGACCAAACACAGCCATTCCCGAGGGAGCCGTTAGAAGGAGGATGTATACAAACACCCCCTATCAGGCAGCAAGAGACCGAGAAGGTTATGTAAACAGTAACGATGCATTTTATTCCACAAGCTCAGATTCACCTTCAACCCCACCTTTCTTGGAAGTGAAACTGTTTGAGCCCATACGTGAGATTAGAAGACTCAGACCTGTTAACTTCAAAAATTATTAACAACAACAGTGTTCTAAGTTGACACGTAAACAAAACGGTTTCAGGAGGAACCTGTGTTCTGCACTTAGCCCCAAAGTCGTGAACCGGCGTGTGGAAGTCACAGCAAACAACAGAAGGAAATCCTCAAATAATTAAACTAGTCCAATTCGTACAGCAAAGAATTCTGGAAGGCGATCGGGCAGCGCGTTACGTGATCCCTAATGATCCGCACGCTCCCGTCCTGCGTGTTCACTTCTTGGAGAACCGGGGAGACCGGTCTGCTGTCCGAGCTGCGCGGGTCCCCCCGTGCCGACCCTGCGGGCGCAGCCGCCTCACCCCCTTCCCCTTTCCCCTGCCCCTCCAGCAGAAGGCCTGCTTGCTTTTCAGAGTCTGCGGCCACGGCCGTTTCCCCGACTGCGACAGCACTTTCTAAATCTGGTTCCTTTCTCCTAGATTCACCAGAAATCGCTGAACTGGTGTCAGGAGGTTCACGCTGCAAACAATGGCGTGAACTACAACCCACTTTTCCGATTGTTTCAGCCGTTGCAAAAGATGTGGAAGTTTTGCTGGGTTCTGCAGCACGTTCTCCTTCGACTGTCTCGGCCGCGCTGCAGTTTGTTTCTGCCTTTGCTTGGGGGTAGCCGCCGTCCGTCGTCTCAGTGAGATCCCCTCCTGAGCTGCTAAGTGTTTCTTCATTTCCATCATGTTCAGAACGGACTGCTTCCTGCGGCTGTCGAGAAAACAAATGAATTGTTTTATAGCTGAAACGGACCGGGCACACAAAACCGTTGTAAAGACGGGCTGAGACACTTGTTCCTCCGACATCTACTTCCAGAAAGGCGAGTCAGCGCGGTGCCGAGGTTTTCCTGATCGTGTCCCGCGCGTGGGAACAAGGGGCAGGGAGGTTGTTGGCCGCCCGAGGGTTTCCTCCGCAATAGGAAACGCTGCTGGGCCGCTGCCAAGCGGCCGCAGCCTCCAAGCGCGATTAGCAGCGGGGAAGACTCACCACACCCAGGCCGTTGTTTTCTAGAACTCAGAGCCCACAAAATCAGCCAAGGGATCGAAACTCTCATGGCAAGAAGGGTGTTTTAACCTTGCAATTCGGGAAATTGCCGTCCTGTCCTACGTGGAAGGTGTAACCGGGGAGCGAGCTGTCTTTCTCAGTCGGCCTAAGGGAGTTAATCTGGGAATTGCTGCAGTTTGCCTCGGGAGAGAACAAACTGCGAGACTCGCTGCTGTCTAAATAGCAGCTACCCAATTTCACCAGTCACTGTTGGCTGCTTCAGCAAAAATTTGCTGGTAACTCATACGTCCCTATCGGTGGACAGTCAGGATCAGGCGAGCATCTGTCCAGCAGCAGCTGGATTCATGGATTCAAAGACTGAGTCACTGTCTCATGCACCCGCCCCTCTCTGACCCCAAACCCACTGCTCGCTCCAGCAAGAAACGAGAGAAACACTAGTAAGCCCTTCTCGGCACTGGATGGTGCTCCCATATGAAAGCATGAATGATTTAAGGTACCTCAGTTTCCCTTTCTCCGGTACCAAAACATCCGCATTTGCTCCCCAGCAACCTGAATTTTTGAATTTTTACGTACAATCCACGCTAGCTACAAAAGTTCAGCCTCTCAAAAGTAATGCTGGAGCCACCATCTTAGGGTAAACTCCTCGGTCCTCCAGCTTAGTTCCAGAAGTCGCATGCTTCATCTGAACTTGCTTTCCAGGAAGCTGTCCACACATTGTCTGCGGTCTCCTCTTTATGGCCACAGAAATACCCTGATTAGCCCTGCGTATTATCTTTCCTTTCAGAAATGTTTTAAGTGAATTTCTGATACAGCATCTACCAAGAAATCCCAGTTGATTTGGGGGTTTTATCTCACATTTGCCTCTTTACAAAAGTAATGTTTTGTTTTCTTCATCTGCCCATCTCCTGCTTTGCAAAGGGAGGTCATTTTAACCCCATGGCAGGCTTCAGAAACAGGCTGCCCTGCACCCTTTATATACACAGGGGGATCAAGGGAGAAGGGCAGCCTGAATGAGGCCTCAAACGCTACAAGCAGTGAATGTGAAACCGGGATTTAAGATGAATAGTCCCATGTTTAATTATCTACACAACAGGAAACTACCAAGTACTCAAACACTTGGACCAAATACAGGTAATGAGACCTGATTCTTCACAGCCAAAATCCTCAGGGTTTTCTCTACCTGTGTGACAAGGCAGAGGGAATGAGGCAGTGGCCATGCCCGAGCACCCTCTGTCCATCTCCCGGAGCCCCTTCCCACTCCCGCTCCCAGCGGCCAGGTCCTTTGCCTCCCCAGCTCCCTCCGGGTGAGTTCACTCCCGGACCACACACCCGGAACGGCCTCTGTGCAACAGACGGCACGCTCTAACCGTGGGCGCCAGTACACGAACCCAGGCTTTCGGGTGTTTCAAGGACGCGGATTATTCACTTCTTTATTTCCATAGCAGGACGAGGGAGGTTCTCCTTCCCCTCTACACTGCCCTGGTGAGGCCTCATCTGCAGTGCTGTGTCCAGTTCTGGGCTCCCCAGTTCAAGAAAGATGAAGAGCTACTGGAGAGAGTCCAGCGGAGGGACGTGACGTGGAGGGAGGAGCTGCAGCCA